CCAACTCCAAAAGGATGGAGTCTTGGAGTCGTTTGACCTAAAGTCAAATGATAGTTGAATCATGCTTACTTGGAAAAATGACAAAGTCACCCTTCACAGGCTCATGTGAAAGGGGTGAAGGTTTGTTGGACCTTATACACACGGATGTGTGTGGACCATTCAAACATGCCACAAGGGATGCTAATCGTTATTATTTGACTTTTACCGATGATTACAGTAGATATGGATATGTCTACTTAATCAAGCATAAGTCAGAGACTTTCGAGAAGTTTAAGGAATTTAAACAGGAAGTCGAGAATCAATTGGGCAGGAACATTAAGATGCTTCGATCCGATCGAGGTGGTGAGTATCTTAGTTCAGAGTTCCTCGACTATCTAAAGGAATGTGGGATTGTCTCACAATTGACACCTCCCAGGACACCGCAGTTGAATGGTGTGGCTGAGAGGCGTAATCGAACCTTGTTGGACATGGTTCGTTCCATGATGAGTCGAGCTTCGCTACCAATCTCATTCTGGGGGTATGCCTTAGAGACTGCCGCCCATATCCTCAATCTAGTCCCTACAAAGAAAGTTGCCAAAACTCCTCACGAGATGTGGACTGGTAAAGTACCTAACTAGACCACATCAAGATTTGGGGCTGCGAGGCTTTCGTGAGACGCGAGACTCATGATAAGCTCGAACCCCGAAGCGAGAGGTGTATTTTCATCGGCTACCCACAGCATTCCTTTGGTTACCTCTTCTACAGACCTAGTGACAACGTGGTTTTTGTAGCAAGAAGAGGAGTCTTTCGAGAAAGAGAGTTTATAAGCCAAGGAGACAGTGGGAGGCAAGTTGATCTTGAAAATTCAAGATCAAGTGGTGAAGGAACTTCAAACTCTAGCCCTCAACTTGAGGAGGAAACTCCTGTTGAGCCAATTGACGAATCTGTACCTCTGAGGCGTTCCACGAGAGTTAGGAGTGCACCTGAGCATTACTATGGATTCCATATTACTGCAGAAGGTGAGACACTTATTAGTGATGAGACACTAGTAAGTCAAGATGACCCTAACAGCTACGAGGAAGCCATGGCAGGCCCCGAGTCTGCCAAATGGAAAGAGGCTATGGATAGCGAGATACAATCCATGTATGACAATCAAGTTTGGAACTTGGTTGAGAATGTACCTGGTCGAAAGACTGTAGGGTGCAAATGGGTCTTCAAAAAGAAGACCGACATGGATGGTAAAGTACACACTTATAAGGCTAGGCTGGTTGCAAAGGGCTTCTCTCAAATTCCTGGAGTGGACTATGATGAGACCTTTTCTCGGTAGCCAAGATTAAGTCTATTCGGGTTCTGTTAGCCATAGCGCATTTCATGACTATGAAATTTGGCAAATGGATGTCAAAACCGCTTTCCTTAATGGGAAAGTTGGCTGAAGATGTTTACATGAGTCAGCCAGAGGGTTTTGTCAGTAACGAGTACCCTAATAGAGTGTGTAAGCTTGAGAAATCCATTTATGGATTAAAGCAAGCACCTCGCAGATGGAATCTTTGCTTTGATGAAAAGGTCAAGGAATTTGGCTTTTCTAGGAGTGAAGATGAATCTTGTGTATATGTCAAGGCTAGTGGGAGTATAGTTAGCTTTTTGGTATTGTATGTGGATGACATACTACTCATAGGAAACGACATTCCAACCTGCAGGAAGTAAAGTCCTGGCTTGGAAAGTGTTTCGCTATGAAGGACCTTGGTGAAGCTGCCTATATTTTGGGGATAAGAATCTTGAGAGATCGGAGTAAAAGACTAATTGGACTTAGTCAAAGTACCTACTTGGAGAAGATTCTGAAGAGATTCAGAATGCAAACTCCAAGAAAGGAGAGTTGCCCATCCAGAGTAGTGCCAAGCTGAGTAAGACACAAAGCCCTAGCACTGAGGCTGAGATAGCAGAAATGAGTCGATTACCTTATGCTTCGGCTGTAGGTTCGATCATGTATGCTATGACGTGTACTCGACCTGATGTAGCCTTTGCCTTGAGCATGGTTAGCAGGTTTCAGGGGAACCCTGGCAAGGCACACTGGACTGCGGTAAAGACTATTCTCAAGTACCTACGAAGGACTAAGGACTGGGTCCTTACCCTCGGTGGGAGTGATGACTTGAGAGTTGTAGGGTATAGTGATGCTAGCTTCCAGACTGATAGGGATAACTTCCGCTCTCAGTCGGGCTGGGTCTTTACCCTAAATGGAGGAGCAATTTCTTGGAAGAGTTCCAAGCAAGAGACAGTGGCAGATTCTACTTGTGAATCAGAGTATATTGCAGCTAGCGAAGCGGCAAAGGAGGCGTTATGGCTGAGGACTTCATTGGAGACCTTGGAGTTGTACCAGCTATTAAAGAGCCGATGGAAATTTTCTGTGATAGTGAAAGTGCTGTTGCCTTAGCCAAGGAACCAAGGGATCACGGGAGATCCAGACACATCGACAGAAAATACCATTTCATCAGACATCGGATCGAAGAAGGACTCCTCGTGGCAAAGAGGGTATCATCGGATGAGAACCCAGCAGATCCCCTCACGAAGGGACTGACTCGGGTTAAGCATCTCCAGCATGCTCGGAGCATAGGGCTGAAGGATGATATTAGATTTAGTAGTTAGATAATCTCGAAATTTGTAAAGTGTAATTGACATTTGATGATGAATAAAAGTGTTTTATTTATGAGTAAAGTGTTGCTATCTCTTGTCGATCGTTTACTATATTTCTTTTGCATGTTTTGACTTCCAGAATAATTTTGTTTGGTTTATAACATATTATTCAAACCTCCACAGTCGGTCATATGTCGGAAGTAGGTATGAATCAAGACTGTCATGATTGGTTGTAGAGGTCTGGGACAAGGCTACAACAATCATGAGTGCTCATAAGTTCTGAGCATTGGACTCAACCCACGCTCACTGGAATCACTTCATGGAATTCTATCTCGAGTGATCGTGAGACGGTAATATCATATAAGTCTTTAAACCTAGAGATATGATTTGTTACTTACGAGTTGGTTATGCATTGATTGTACGAAAAACGCATTGGTAACTCGATGTTATAAAATCGTGCTCTTATGTGTAATTCAATGAGTAGTAGAACAAACATATGAGTCGAAGTTTATCTGTTCCTTCTTGGATTAGAAGCTGATATCTGGGCCCCTCGATGATTTTTTTTTGACCTATGTACCGGGCCCGGTCAGAACTAGATTGATGTGTTCAATAAAGTTCTTTGTCACAAATCGGAAATCGGGAAACAAATGTTGGACAATAAGTAAGACATTGTTCCATGTATTTGTCCGACTGATATCTAGAACAGAGGATTATATGATCACTTATCTTAAATGGCGTACCATCATCTTCTCAAGTTTCGAGAAACCTTGTAAAGAGCTACGATTGCCGATCGGTTCCTGAAGTCATACTTGCAGTAATAGTTACTAGACTTATCCAAGTGGGAGACTGTTGGATAAGGTGTCTAAGTCCATAACTATTTCTGGTATGTACTTGACCCGACCCGGCATGGTCCATTTGGGTTGCATGGCACCATGCAATTGGAAACTAAATGAGAGAAATAACGCTTGGAGATTATTAATATATTATAAGTTCTAATATATTAATAATATTATTTGATTAGTTTGATCAAGAATTAATTTAGAATTAATTAAGTGATCAAAAGATAACTAATTAAATATATGGGTTGATTAAGTAAATCATCCATATCTTGTATAGTGGGCTAAAAGGCTCCATGGATCATCAAGTTGGGTTCCACCCATAGGATGCTCCATGGATGCTCCATGGGAGTTACAAACCCATGGGTCATGGAAATGAAGAGTCATGACACATTAGGGTTTAACCCTAGATGTGTCAACACTATATAAGTAATATGATCTCCTCCCAAATCGGTTACACTAAGTAATAAGGGGGCTTGGCCGATTTTGAAGAGTGTGAATTCTCTCATAAGTTCTTCCAAGAGCATTTGGTGTTGTGTGAAGCATTTGAGGCATCACCACTTGAGGTGCTAGGCTCACAAGGTTTCAAGGAACACAAGCAACAACAAGGTAAGTTATTCTATCTATACTTTATGTTAAAATTGTTCCCCATGTATGCTAGATAGGATATAACCTTGGAATTCAACTTTGCATGACAAATTAGACAAACATAGATCCAAGGTTATTAGGGTTGCATGTACACTTAGGAAGTGTTAGAATGCTCAAAACCCATCAGTATAATCCTAAGAGAAAAAGGAGGATAATTTCCACTAACTAAAAAGTAAAGTTTTTCCAGTAAGGGTTAGTTTAATCCTTTATTATCACTAAGGACTTAGATGGAATTACTAGTATATATCGCAACTTTATATTTGAAAACTTCAACAAAAATGTCACAATTATGTTTTAACATATAAGATATAATTACAATGACTATAGTCGTTAAGAAAGTAGATTAGTGAAAATACCATTAGGAATATTTTATATATGAATAAGATTCACATATATCAAATAAACTACATTATTTTCTTTAAAGATCCGTTTCTTGAAGTTGGAATATGTGTATTTCATTTATATAATAAAGATAACGTCTTAAATAATTTGATTTAAAACAAATTTAAGTAAAAAATGTTTGCATATAGAACTTGTTATTTAGAAACTTTGATATTTGATTTCTAATTTTATTAAGAGATCTAGTCTCATAAATAGAAGTTCATCATTTAAGAATATGAATATTATCGTTATGAAAAAAGATTTAAATAAATAATAAAATTTTAATAAATTAATATGTGTGTGTATATATATATACAGAGAGAGAGAGAGAGAGAGAGAGAGAGATGCTACATTAAAACATACATTATTCCAAAACAAAAATTGTTTTACAGTAAAAGTACATTACATTATTGTTACCGTATCTCTCAAGAAAAACGTTAAAGAAGGAGAAGTCAAACTAGTGCCAAGCTTAGCCTGGTTAGAATTCGGTCATATCCAGTCTGAGTCCAAGTTCGGGCATTCAACGGTATGGCGGTTAAGGGCAGAACCACGCCTCTCCATCTTCTCAAAAAGAAATACCCAAAAAATGTGGAACAATCAGCTAGTTCCACTTGCCCATCTGACGAAATCTACGATCATCATAATATCGAAGATTCTCCTCTAGCCAGTGAGGTGACGAGACAGAAAGACGTGACAAATGATCCTTCAATACGGATCTCCCACGTCCTGTCTCACGAAAGGAGGCTCAACAGAATCAGTTAGGAAGCACACTCCTCTCGATCACATATAAAAGGACCCTTCTTCCTTATGAAGTAAGGGACGGAACTATTTTTCTCTCATAATTACCCTATCTTCTCTCGGAATCAATTCTAACTTGAGCATCAGAGCTTCATCCTGTGAATCCCTCCCAAATGCCGTCTAACGATCATCTTTTTCTTTTACACGCCAATCTCACAAACACCATCCAACTCTGCAGCTGAAACGATGGCAACCTACATAGCCAATCTATGGCATCCAATAGTTAACCCAACTCCACAAGCAACAATTGTAACCAAAACTCCACATATTGTCACAACACAGCAAACAGAGAGACCTCTTTCGCAAAAACATTCGGTCCCACACAGTTCAGGCACTGGAACCTGGATCGGTCACAATATTCAACCGCTATCACACTATTCATTGATGATCTACCTACACGGCACCATGGTAGGCTTGCCCCATGTGCCGCTGTTTGTGCGACAACCACCGGTCTTCCGCCTGTTCACACATCAGGCTCAAGGTCCAATCCCAGAAGTGTCTCAGCCGTACGTCACATGTGTACAAACCTCGATAAACCAATGATCCAACTCCTATGGACCTGGCGTCCATTTCTCAGTAGCACCAGAATTCAACCCCTTCATGGCGACTGATCAACCATTCGTCCATGAAATGGTACACGAGAGCAAACCCATAAATAGTTCACCCGATAGGGCAATATGCATTCCAACAATTTGGATTGCAACCAAACTTGCAGCAATATCAACCGTACATCTCGCCGGCGGCCATGCACAACCTGATGTATGCGATCCCCTACCAGGCGCAACAACATATGGCCTATGGCAGTATGTCGTACTCGTACATGAACAACCCCATGCGAAGTGCAAGCTCTAATTTCAACCATGAACTACTTCAATACGAGATTCCACATACTGCAATGATACTGAACATGCCAAAATATGACAACATTACTGACCCAGATGACCACATCGACAACTATGAGTGGACAATGACATCTCTTAAGATGGATCATCACTTCACCTGCACATATTTCCCATGCACCATAACAAGAAACGCAGTTGAGGAAAGGAAAAAGGGACGCCAACTCTATGATGGCATGTAAAAAAAAGAGAAGGATAGTCGATTCGTGACTATTATGATTGATTCACGCTAGCTACCTTGAACGTCCCAAGACATGAGGAGTTCCTGGTGACGGGCGCCTTCGCCCAAGGTCTGCTTCCAGGGCCTCTATCTAAGAAAATGCAACGGATACTCCCTATATCCAGGGATGAGCTCAAGTTTTGTGTGGAAAAATACCTGGCACAAATTGAAGGGGAAGAGTGAAAGGAGGCCAATCTCAACGCTTTAGCAAACACATACATCAAACAGGAGGAGGCGACATTCCGACCAAGTTCCTCAGCAGGAGAGACAAGATGGTAACCAACAGAAACACAATTGCCACTCTAGGCACGTGTCGAGGAGGTCAGGCCGTTCAAAAAAGATGACAAAAGGAATGGTCATGCAAATGTTCATGCACTCAACAAAACTCCATCAAAGGAGATCAAGGACAAGACCAAATTCTATGAATATCACAAGAGCAAAACTCATGATACCACTGAATGCACAATGTTGAAAAGGGAGATATATGAGAAGAAACTAGTTGGAAACATAGTTGACAATGCAAACGAGCTCAGAGGAAAATTTAATGAGGACAAACACCAGCCTAGAAATTAAAGGATGGGGTAAATGACCACGATAAGAGGCCAGCGATACTTACCATTATTGGGCATTGTCCATGCAGCAATTGTCAAAGCCAACAAGCCATCGCACCGATATAGAATCAAAACATGCTTAATATAGACTTTTCAATGAGTGATCCAGACCAAAACATTGGTGTTAAGCATGTATACATTGATAATGGAAGCAGGGTCAACGTAATCTATGAGCACTGCCTTCGGCGGTTGCCAATCCAGTGGGAAAAGTACCTCCAACCACCACAATAGGGCATGCTAGTCGGGTTTACTGGTCATGGCATCTGGTCAGCACGTACAATCATGCTCTCATTTACACTGGTCAGTCATGATGGAACAAAATAGGTAATGAGGGTAGTTAAGTTCTGGGTTGTTGATGTCCAAGTAGAATACAATATCCTACTAGGCCGACCTGCACTTTTCCAACTACGAGCGATTTTTTCCACTCTCCATGAAATTCTCAAATTCAGCACAAGCGGAAGGTCAGTGACGATCATAGCAACCAGGCCATATCATGAATTCAGTGTCGAACAAGAAACAAAGCAAGAAACCAAATATTGTCAAAGTGAAATTTTATAGAAGGTGGAGAATTATAGGGGAGATCAGCAACAACATGAATGTGGGTTAACGAGGCAAGGAAAAGGCACAGGGACATGTTCAGACGATTAACACATCTCTTTCATGGAAAGAACCAAGTGTTGATCCAAATATGATCTAGCCAGAACATGGAGCAAAAATTGCAAAGCAAGGGAATGCCTACCCACGAGCAAGGGCATCAGTCCAGCCTGTAATCGATGGTCAAGCCATGCTCAGACAAAGAATGATTCGAGACTCGAACCGGATCTTTGCCTGTGTCAAAGATGAATCAAAACCCTTTCGGATGAAGAAGCTAAGTGCTAGCAATAACAAAGATAGTGACGAAGTGTCAATCACTCTAACACACAAGCTTTAATGTAGAAGAGAACCAAGCAGGCTCTTTGATGAACAAAACAAAACCCTGGATAACCGTATGAAACACATGATTGATAGGTGCAGGGAAAAGAGCAAGTGTTGCAGCACATGTTGGACCAAGGAGAAGGGGAAATGTGAGTGCCTGCAGAGCATGAAGGACAAAATTATGCTCTTCCACACCAAGACCGGTGGTGGAAGCAGGAAAGAACCCCAAGCTATCAAGAAGCACTTGGAGAAGATGAGAAAAGGATGCACAACCATGACGAGGCAGTCACAACGGAGCAATCGACCAAAAATAAAGTGAAGGCTTAGAAAAGGGAGTATGGTCAAACTCCACACAAGATAAAAATACTCCAAGTACCGACGTAAAAACCGGGCCCGTGCCCTGATACTTAGACATTTACAGTCTAATGTTTTGTGTCTTTCCTTTTTAAGAGTTAATATAATTTTTGTTTTCAAAGAGCTTTCTAGAATTCTGTTTAAGCAATTGCAACAACACAAAGTAAAGAGGTTGTGCATATTTTCCACGTAGCAACAATGCCTGATCACCAACGCTACTTGAGAAAATTTTATGAAGAATGTAACCATAGGTCTCAAAGAATCATAATCTTTACGTAAAACTTGGCAATAACATCTCAGAGTTGAGAATGTATAAATTTTATTTGATGGCATAAAAAGGGGGTCTTTAAAAGATCCAATACCTTTCCCCTAAAAATCAGATAGTAAAAGGCCATGAGGTAACGATCTCGGCCAAAACACAGGTAGCTAAACATCATAGTATAGACAAGAACATAGGCTAATATTTCACAAGTTAACATGAAAACCTCGGTTGAGTATACTAGTCGAAAATCATTGAAAGCATATATGCTAGTAGTAGTGGATACACAACGTCCGAGACGCACTCTAAGCTAATTAACACGGACCCTAGAACAAGGGAGTGTGTAGAAAAGAATTATAATAGAAATGTCGAATAACCCTAGCCTAAAGATATCACAGGTAAATTCAAAATACATAAAAAGCATTTCTATACCATGTACAAAGAAAAATACATCGTTCTTGGTCATTAACAACCAATATCTTTCATTAGACATATAAAACAAAGGAGTGCAGATACATTACAAAATGAATAAAAAGGGACAAATAAAGATAAGTCCCTAGAGTTTGAGGAAGAGCTTCCAAGACCCGGTCTACGAAAAAACTAGCGGAATCAGTCGTAATCCAGCTCTCCCAGACGAAAGTGGCGTGCAAATTTCGTCTCAGCAAGGGACAAAAGGGTAATATCCACCTCTTCGGCTCTTCTCAAGACACGACCATTATCTGGGGTTGCACTTTCACCCAAAGATATGGAACGACCGGCTAACTGTTTCCCTTTTTCAAGCCCAAGGGCCTCACACTCCTTTTAAACACCTTAGATCCCACTAGAAAATTTCACACTCTTGATAACCTTATCGATTACTCAGACTACCCTTTTCTCCAACATCAATTGCAAGTTGCCTCGGGCAACAACACCATCAACCCAGGCACGAGCCAGCTGACGTTGGCAACTGGCCAACTCACTCGCTACAACACCCTTCTATCGACTTAAATAACTCACTTGATTTTTGAGTCACTCCGTTTGGCTTTCCAGAGTGGCCACATGATTTTCCAAAGTGGTCTTCTCGCAGTCAACAATGCAATTTTGCATGGATAGTAATCGACGCTCTGCCTCTGAATCACAGAGTTCCTCCCTTAAGCCTGCAACGAAATCTTGAAATGTTTTTACCTATGCTTCATTTATGCCAGAGCGGCAAACCCGGTCAGTGGCAACAACCATAAGGGCAAACGCTTCAGCGAAAACACAGGTAGCTAAACATTAGAGTATAGTAGTTTTATTACTTAAAATAAAACCATGTGTTTGTATTCTATGGAATCCTGCAGTTGTATTGTATAGTAGTTCTATTAATTAAAATAAAACTATTTAAATAATTGAAATCCCGTAAACAAATGGTTAGTTTATACTGTTGTGTTTTTGGTATAACCATGCTTGGTGTGACCTAGTGACCTCTACGACGTTCTTCAGGCATTAGAAGCGTATGATATTTGTCACCCCATGCATGTCTGCCTAACTGTAGCTAGCAGTTTAGGTGTGAGATTGTCAGTCCCGTATAGATCTATACACAAATATCACACTCTCCCTCCAGGAGACTCGGGTTATACAGTGGTAGGATTTAGTTCCGCACCCCGGAGGGTCCAATTGAAGTAGTGCCTCACAACCCTGCATTAACTAGTTTACATGTAGTGTCGTACTGTTCTCTTATACTTGAAACTGTATGTATAACTTGTAGAGTAACAATAATTATACTTAAATAATTATTTAGTATTGTACTCTTGTATTTGGAAAATAGTATTGTATATCATAAACTATATCTACCATAATTTATATGTGTTCTTGTCTACATAGTGTCCTTGAAATAGTAAAACAGTGTATTGTATCCCAAACTATACCTATTATAGTTTATACGTGTGTTCTCGTTTCATGTAATGAATTTTGTAAAGTTCTGTATTCTTCCCAAACTATATCAACTATAGTTTAATTTTATGTTAGGTATTGTACTGAAAAATTTTCAATTATGGTTGTATGTTGATGCTCAACATGTTACAAAAGTGATAAAAATATCTGAATATTTTTATAGAATTGTATTGATGTCTAGGTTTGTATCAATTGCAAAAAATTTAATCTCTTTGAAACCGTTCGTATAAAAACACAAAGTTCATTGTGTTTTACTTGCATTCCCCCTGAAAACATTAAAAATATTAAAAAAAAATGTAGGGGTATGAACTCACAGTTGTTTGTGCACGTGTTGGACAATGAGACTAGAAAAATGACCTTCGAGTTGAGGTACACAGTATTAACGGTATCGTAAGGATAATTAAACACATAATTATATTTAAATTAGCGAGACCATTAATTTAAGTGTTAGAAAATACTTGTTTTTGGTGTTAGGAAATTTTACCGAGAATTTTATGAAATGAATGGGAGGGTTTCCGGTCGAGGTTAAATCCGAGAACCATGTTCTCGGTCCAGAGGGGTTTTCGGTTGGAACTAGTTTTCGACCGAACACAGGTTCTTGGCCGAAATCAGGTTCTTGGTTCTGCTATTTTTTTTGGCCACTTAAAGATATGAAGGCTATTCTTGGTGTTCTTGAGGAAAAATATGAAGATTTTAAGGTTTCCTCTTGAAGATATGAGTGTTCTTGGATGATCCTTAGGAGCAAAATGAGAGAGTTTTCCGGTGAAATGAGTAAGAAATGATCAAGTTTCCTTGGAAAAACCTTTATATTGGTTGGGTTTTCGGACGGAATGGAGTTCTCGGTAGAGATCTATTTTCGACCCGAGGGTTTTCGGCTGAAAACGAATGGCTGAACGAGTTTCGCTATTTTTGAGGAGATATCTCGGGTGTTTCAAGTGTTTTTGGTTCCAAAAACCTATATAATCTTTATTTATATATTTTAGATTATTTTCTAACCCAAATAAACATAACGAAATAAATAAAACTGAAATTTTATTTATAAGTCTAGACTTTTGTTGACTGGGAAAGTATCGGGTTGTCACACCTCCTCAAGAGATGCTAGGGTTTCGAGATATGACTCAAAGGGCTATGGAGGCTGAGAAATGAGAGGATCATGGGTTATAATGTTGTTTAAATAGGGTTCAAACCCTAAAATTTAGGGTTTGTCCCCTGGATGTGTACACCTTGCGTACGAGAAGTACGCCCCACGTACTCCTAGGTTTTTGAAAGTTACGAAACTGCCCCCTAGGGTCCAAATCTACATAGTATTTACACACCGAGGGTAAAAAAAATGAAACGTACATTGAATCGGATGTTATAATCCCCCCCTTTAATCAGATTTCATCCTGGAAAGTCTACTACTATAAATAACTCTGGTTAATGCTCCTCTTCTCGTCCTCATGCTCCAACTTTCACTTAGACCCATTTTAGTGCTGCCACTACACCTTCACCAACTCCACAACCTTGTTCCACAAGGTTTCTGTCGTCTTGTCAAGGATGGAAATCGGTCTCTCAGTATAATTCAAGCGATCATCCACCTAAATATCCTCCAATGGAACCACCGTAGAATCATCAACCAACCATTTCCGCACCCGAGAGACATAAACATGCTATGGATATGACTAAGCTCCTCGGGTAGATCCAAGCAATAAGAAACTTAACCCACCCGAGCCAAATCCCTAAAAGAACTGATATACCTGAGGCCTAACTTTCCCCACTTCATGAATCAGATGACCCCTTTCCAAGGTGACAACATCAGGAGAACCATGTCCCCAACCTGGAACTCTAGATCTGATCAATGCTTGTCGGCATAGCTCTTTTGCCAACCCTGATTTGTCTAAAGTCTACCCTAAGCCTGCTGAATCAACTCGATAGTCTTGAGTACCACCTCAGTATTCCCTACGACTTGCTGACCAACCTCACCACAACATATTGGGTTCCTGCAATTCCTCCAACAAAGCATCTCAAAAGGAGGTCGATCAATGATGGCGTGATAATTGTTATTATACGGAAACTACACCAAAGGGAGATACATATCTTAGCTCCCACCAAAATCGAACACACAGGCCCGAAGCAATCCTCTAGGGTCTAGATAGTCTTCTCACTCTATCCATCAGTCTGCAGGTGGAAAGTCATGTTGAAATGCAGTCGAGTACCCAAATCCTCATGAAATCGCTTACAAATCGGACACTTGTGTCAGAAAACACTAAAACTGTCACCACATGCTGTTCCATAACCTCCTGATGTAGATGTTAGCGAACTTCTCTATGGAGATACTCTCCTAAATTTGAATTAAATGCACACTCTTATTCAATTGATCCACAATGACCCATATCGAATCCACTCCGCGCGCTGTCCGTGGCAACTATATGATGAAATCCATAATAATCTCTTCCTATTTCTAAACCGGAATGCCTAATGGCTCCATTTTTTTCGTGGGGTTGCTGATGCTCAACCTTGAATTTCCTGCAAGTCAAGAACCTCTCCACATACCATGCCACATCTCACTTCGTACATGGCCACCAATAATCAGGCCAAACATCAATATACATCTTTGTTGCTCCAGGATAAATAGAGAATCTTGATTTATGCTCCTCTTCTATCAAAACCTGCCACACAACAACCCAATATAGAACCCACACACTCTGATGGAGAGTCAATAACCCTCGGCTATCATAATTGAAGGAAGCCACCTGTCCTACTATGCGGTCACTCTTCCGGTGCTCTTTCTTCATAGCCTCGATCTGAGCCTCCCG